TTTTATGAACTAGCATACCGTACTAAGACTATGGTAACGGGAGTTTATGGGGTAAAATAGGGTTTTCCTATATTTAACCCTTAAAACATAACATTTTCCAATTCTTTTCCAAACCATTTTGTTGCACTTAAAAAAATTAATTTAATCGATGGAAGCTTTGCTTTATGTTTAACAGCTACGGAGAAGAATAAAAAAAATAAAATCAAAAATTTCTATGTTATTTTATGGAGAATAAATAAGTTGTTGTAATTTGCTTGTTTGTGGAAATAATTTCATTTAATTTTACACATTTATTATTTATTTCATATTAAGCTATCAGCATTTAAAAATCTATAGTAGCCCTGTAGTAGTAAACCTAAGTACTTGTTATAATTAATTTTAATTCACAAGGAAATATATCTGACTATTTTCGGGGAATATTTATGTGATAATCCAACCAGGTAAATTGAAATTCACTTAGTCTGCAGGTTTGCTGTGACGGTAGTATTTTGATATTAGTTTTGGCCATTTTAATCCGTCTTGATCTATGTGTTTTCTGATCTGTGTTTTCTATATAATAGAAATGTTTGCGTGTTTGTAGTCCAACCGTTACACTGATATTGTATCTTCTCTGAAAAAGAAAGAATTATACATCACTTAGTAGCACCAGCAATACAAAGACAGAGCACCGCTTCAAAATCTTTAGACAATAGGAGTTTTATTTAAATCGGTTCCTTACTATTGGTTGGCTAGGCACGTAGTTCTTTTGGAATTTCTCGTTGTCGCCGGAAAGAGATACGCATAGCTTCAGTAGCGAAGCTAGACAACAACCTCCGTAGCCGGCCTCTCTGGCATAATATTGAAATTAAAATCTTAACCTCAAAAGACTCATATAATTATATAGAACTGATAATAAATACAAGCGTATGATAAGTAAATAATCACATCCATTCAGATTTACAATGACAATTGGTGTATGGTCAACCACAGTTTAATATCATATTTAATATAATAGTGTCAACGTGTTTAATAGGCATAATATTTAGTATTTAAATCACGGTGTTTTCTCACTTTTTGATATGATCTTGGATACCTCAACTAGCTCATCAGTATGAACGGGTTTAAAATTGAATAATGTAAATCAAATTTATTAAAATGGTAAAAAAATAGCAAGGTTTGTTATGTAAAATAATGATATGTTAATTTATTATGTAAGAGGGCCATTAGCATAGGGAAGGTTACTGTGAATGTCAAATTAAATACTTGATTGATTTGACCTGTTGACCTTTATTTTTACAATGCTTCATTTTTACCGTGGACTCGAAAGACAACCAAATCGTCTCCTCGGCAGACTAAAAATGTGTATAGTTATGTTTTGTGTGTCAATTACTTGTTGCAGGGAGGAGGTCAAAGTTTCTTTCATATATGCACTTTGGATTTTCTAAAAAAATACCGTGATAAATTACAATATTAATGTGTCTGGTATTATAAAAGAGAAAGAAACATGATTACTTAAGAAATTGAATAATGCCTACAGAATATGAGGTCCCAATACATGCTACTTTGTATCAGATACAGATTAATCTTTTCCATCCAACTAAATAAATTATTCACGAGATTTACGAGAATTCCCATTAGTAAAGACGAGTTAACTTAGCCAATTGTAGATAAAAATATGACCATAAAATTACTTTGCTAAACCTTCTAAGTAAATGTAAAAATTTAAATTTATCTTATGAACAGTAGACTTGCTTGATTACGAGTGATAAACAATTTCCTAAGCTGTCACGACAGTGGTAAGTTCGTAAGATCCGTCTAACGGAGTAGTTGTACATCACAATTAGGTGGTTCGTAATTAGTTTGCTTTTGTGCGGAGAAGTCGGGTTGAAGATGTTTAAATTCAATTAAAGTCAAACAAGAGCCATTTGTTATAATTAATGTTCCCGCGCCCGCGCGATCGCTACAATGCCTTCTTGATAATCGACTTGGCCGCGGCTTTGTTTCTTTAATGTGTGATCAGATATAGCTGACCATTAGGAGCGGCCTGACCGCTTCAACGGTCAATCAGCCCGACATTGGCTGAATGTTAAATTGATGCAAGCAGGAATGTAATAACTCTTCCACCTCGATCATGTGATTTCCTTCATCGGAGTTCTTGGTTTGTATTGGTGGAGTTGTAGAGGTGGCTACACCTCCCATTAGAACATGAATCACTACAATTGATTTTTGACAATCTGTTTTGATAACTCAATCAAACGTTATTACCCAGATATTAAGAATATACCCATGTCTTCCCTTAAATTAGGAGGGTCACTGGTTTGATCAAATTGAGATGGTTTTTGAAACCAGAAACGCCTTTTCTGGGGGGATTGTAATATGTAAACTCAATGGAAATAGATTGTATTTTATTTTAACTGTAATTTCTGACATTTGCCCTTTATTATTTACAGTGTCTTACTACGTAGCCTATCAATTAAAATATAAAAGGGTAAACCAATTCAGCTTGGTTGATCGTTGATTTGTTTATACCCGGTGGTATGGTATGACGAACAGTCCTCTCCTCGTACCATCTCCTATGAACATTCAACTCAGATGCGGAGACTTGGATGATGATACGTTCTGTGTGATGAGCTTAGTATCTGCTACCACCTTACCTACCTCTAGAGAAGCTCTAGAGTCTAGAGAACGTCAAAGAGATCCGGGAGTTTGACAGAATCTATATTAATTTATTGATCTCCTGAATCTGTTTTTCCCAAGTCTTTCAACATCTAATAGGAAAAGGTAATGAGTTTATATTAGGTCTTGCCTTTATATAAAAACATGTTTTATCAATACCAGCTATATTTGAAATAATTAAGATACGAAAAGCGCAAACATTATAATTTCATATGGGAGCTAAGGAATCATTCGTACTTAAAGTTGATATTTTATTCACTAAAACAATTTTGTTTTTAAATACGACGGATATCGTCTAACTATTTTGTTTGTTTGGATTAGGAAACTTTTAATGAAACCATCGCAGCAAATCTTCGTATTTAGCGAAACTGTTATGTTACTTCTTGAGAAACAACGAGAAGACTGAGGCTTTGTCCTAACTTCTTCAATTGTTTAACAAGGCCATTACTTAGGTTTCATCAAAATATTTATGTTTCAAACTAAGTTTTAGAGTTGTCTTACTTTATACTGTACAAACTTTGGGTTTTTAAATAACGTTATTGAAGTTCACGTTATTGTAATATTTTAACGTTTCAAAGCTAGAATATGATCAATGATTTATCCAGTGTATGATTCAGGATTTAATAACGTAACATATTGTGGTTAAAATGTAATATATGCTTAACAATGCAGTGTTACTAGCAGGAAATAAATTCAACAGATGGATGGCAGACAACGTGTGTGTTGTTGTGTGAAATAAATATGGGAATTCTGTCGCATGAAGCACTTACTCTTCAACATGATACGTGTCAGCGCCATTGTTGGTTACAGAACGCCGCCTAAATTGTATTGTATGCCGTATTTACCAATAATACAAATAACATTTATACAGGTAAATTAGTCTATAAACCTAGATAAGATTAAAACTGAACACAGATTGAATATATTCCTTGTTAATTTATATTGTTTTTACAAACGTTAGGTGGTATATTGTTCATGTTACAAATTGATGTGCCAGCCAGACCTTTATGTCACATATATTCATTATTCAGCTCATGTGAATGGTATAGAAAAACTATATAAATTAAAGTAAACTACAAACTTCATCCCGTTTGACTTCATAAGTATTAATAAGAATATAGATTGGTTAAGTTAAGCTGAAATAAACAACAGAACACAGTAATACAAACAAATAATCACACCTAATTTAACCCCATATAAGCCCCATATAACCTATTGCCAAGCCCTATATTGGCATTAATGTATTTACATAATATATAGTTGTATTACTTTGTGCATAACTCTATCTTATCATAGAAAGCAATCAGAACAAAACTGTAATTGTTATAGTTGATTTCAGTAATTATATTTATAGTCAATGAACACGGGAAATTTATCTACGTACTCATTAATACCGACAACATACGTCAACATACTGATGGCTTAGGTAGAAATTGCATTATTGTATTTCGAGATCAATTACAATTTCCCCAATTTTTGAAAAGCTGCAAAACAGCATTGAATGTTTTTTCCATGTCAGGACCAAAATAATATTTGGCTAGCTAAGTTTCCAAAAGAAGTTGCACACTTTTAACTATGCATTAAACTTGTAATCATACAATGTTAAACGAACATAACACGTAAAAAGTACAAAAGGTCTACTATGATTAAGTGTATAAAATTATAAAGTTATCGACGGAATGATAATTGAAAGTATAATACTTACTAAGCAAGTTTTTGGGACACTTTTTAAAATAAAACCTGTAACCATCAATAAAAGTATATTTAAATATGCACACAAATACATGTTGCTGATTGAAAAGTTAATGGCAAAAACATGGCTTTAAGTGGATAAAGGTGAAATTTAACTTTGCAAGAAATGGTGGAACGCGCATAAAATTAGCCCGAGTGGAGCTCTAAGGCGGGAATAAAAGCGAAACAAATGGTCCGTCGCGAGACGTTTGGGGAGAGCAATCTCAAAAACCCACAGCGGTGCTAAACTGAATTATATGTTTGCCGCCGAAAGTTTCGGGCCGAGCAGCGTTTTTAGCACATTCCGCCACTTTATTTAAACTCCCCGGGGGTAAATGCGGCATTGATTCTTCCCAGGATCAAGGTATCCTTGTGTCTGACGGTCGGGTGTTGCCGTCAACGCTCGGGTGTTGTCGTGGTCCGTCCCGAGCCGCACACGCACCGCACGCGCCAGTCTCGTCCGGCACCACTGAGGAGCGACACACGGGCCGCGCGCGTCCGATCCACAACATTCGCGTGCTAGTAATAACATTCACACCCATGCAAATTGAAATTTATTAATTATATAAATGTAATTGTAATTAAAATACTGCTTATATAATTAACTACAGCTAAAAAACGATGTAGTTGTTTTATATTACAAAATAAACTTGCATCTATTCGCTGACAAAGCCAATGTGAAGTATCTTGACGTAGTATATTTAAGTGTACTGTGCTGTGCAATGGAACGTCCCTGGCATATCATCGCACTTGTGATAGCTAACATCGTCTGCACTCTGGGGAAAATCACTCACGAGGAAATAGGTAAGTTGCGTTAGGATACTAATTCTTTAAACCTATCTCACAGCTATTTTTTTAAAATGCAAATATGCAATTTAGCACTTAATGTTTGTAAAAACAAAATAAATAAACATGAAATATATTCAATATGCATATGCAACGTAAACTTGTCGAATGTAAAATATAGTTGGAGAACAAATAAAGCAAAGATAAAAAATCCCAATCATGACTTTTAGTTCTTTCCCTGGGATAACATATTCCTAATTTCGAAACTTATTTGATCAATTTCAGCCTGACTTTATTTGCAATTTATTAACCATTAGCATTAATCATTGACATTATTTACGGAAGAACTGTTTTGTCGTTGTTTTAATATCAGTTAGAGGTTTGTTCATTTAACTTACTCTTGTTATTCAACACCTTTAGCTATATTTCCATATTAAGTATCAATATAAACAAGTAATATGGTTCGTAGTATTATGAACATACACCCAAGACGGATATGTTATCACAATTTAATATCTATTTAAATGTAGAACCTTTCTATTATTTGTTTATGCCATGAGTAATTACAGTAGTCTTCTTCTATAACTTTACCTACAACTGTGATTGCTAATAAATATTTTACTTTAATTTTTGGTTCAAAGGCTATACCGTGATAATTCACAATCACAATGGCTAGGTGTAAGCCCAGGTATCCTAATAAATGAGGTGGCTTTTAACAAGTAAACACAGTAAAAACTTTCAGTTTTTAGGGACAAATCACAGATAGCCATTATGGGTTCGGCAATGATTCACCTATAACATAACTTTTGAAAACCAACAACTTGCGACAACATATAACTAAAACAATTCAAACTTGTGCCGAAATCTAATGTCAAATGTAATCAAACAACATGTCAACAATAAGAGTCATTATACCAACAAATATCTTGTGTATTATTTCATCGTACTGCTAATATTGTCAAACTATAGCTTGTGCTCAGTTAAAGAGTGATTTCAAAATATAGCTTTTGCCTCATCAGAAATCTTCCAAACCATAAACAGTTAATCATACAAAGTATATATTATTTTTAACAATAATTTGCGTCAAACCAGTACCTACAATAACACTTCCCGTGTTGTGTAAATTCCAGATGAAGATGAGACAGTACATCTACAGTACTTGAAATACAGTAGGTGGGTCAACGGTTTGATTCGAAGAAAGGTATTCAACCATCGGCTGTACAAAAGAAATAAAAACAGGAATAATTCATTGTAATCATTGTAGCGATTATTGCAATCACAAATATAATGCATAACCCCCGGACCTAATACCCTGCTTATTGCATCCTTATTATGTGCTTACGATGTGTTTTATATCTCTGAAAACGCATATAACTTCTTAACGAATTTTATTCATGTTGGTAGAGGAATGGTGTTTAGTAATGATTACAATACGAAAGATATTAAACTGAATAAAATAATTCATAAATAAATAATTCATAGTAACTACTGTAATTGCATGGATGAAGCGAAATTAAGCTACCAAAGGCATACAAAAAACATGTTTATGGACACTGAAGGATTCAAAAAAATCACAAAAAGCAATTCACACTTTTTTTGTTATTCCAAACATCCTTATTGGCAACCAATCATATCCCAAAATAGAACTTACTAAAAACCTTACAATTACTTAACACATTTATATCTTAATAATCAATATATTTTAATAACAATACATTCAATAACAAATGCCCCCTTCGTGCATTAATTAAGTGCTGAAAAACAATTCTGTTTCATAAAAGGCCACTTAATAAATTGAAGGATAACAAAACAATGCTCCTATTCTTACTACTAGATTTGTATGATAAAGAAAGTTGATCCTAGGAATGAAACCAGTTTACCAAAACATTACCGGCGAAGTATCAAGATAAGTCAACGGCACCGCCAATCGTAAAGGGTATCTATAAATATACCAACAAATTCCAATAAGCTGATAGATACCAAGTATAGTATATACGACACTATTATGTAAACAGTGGCAATCGTAACCATACAGTAACCGTTTGGAGCAACTACGGCCATTGAGATAGCGTTTCTGAACCGTCTTTGTCTGACTTGGCTCAACGGTCTGATGTGTCGAAACATGAACTTACTTTCATTGTACCAACTTCTGTGTTGGTGATCCAGGTTTGGATTGCATTATTTGCCATTTTAATTTACAGTACCTATGTGATAATGCTAACACCTATGTGATAAGTCATTAAGATAAGTCAAGTTGTATATAAATAGTTTTAACACGTGTAATTTGTTAGTAGTCTGCTGTGAGAGGTGTCTCTTTATTTAAGTTGCCTCTAAAAAAAATTTAAATTATGCAACGATATCATGATGATTACTGATAAACAACAATCTATTTTCTTATAAAAGCTATCCTTTGTATTATATGATAATTAGATTCCAACCAAATTATTATAGTTTAAAGAGCTTTTGTTGTTCTTTAAATAACAAAACACAGGTTTTTTCTACTAATGTATCTACTGTATCTAATGTATGTAAGTACTAATGTATCTAATGTATGTATGCTATTAATGTACTAATGATGTATAAACTAGAAACACATTAAACCCCTTTTAAGTCATATTATCACTTGCATTCTTTGAATTAAATTCTAGTAACCATCCAAAATGTATGACAACAGTGATGGGTTTTATACAGGGTGAATAAAAAGTCAAGACCCCCCCCCCCCTCTAATATTTTTCCCATTAAATATACAGATATATCCTTTTGGTGGTCGTGCAATCTTAGCAGGAAGTTTCATTTTATGATTTTGAAATTTTTGAGTGTCCCCCCAAAAGGGGGGATTTGGGGGGTAACTCAAATATTTTAAATGTAAACCCCCTTCAAGTGATACCTCATTTTGAAGAGTTTACAAAAACTTAAAGAATGGTGAAAACTAGAGGTCGATATCTCTTCTCTATCCAAAATGGTAGCCCGTCAAATGTTGTAGAAAATCAATGGTAAAATTAGTTCGTAATAGTAATATTGGCTACCATTTTGGTTAGAAAAGAGATAGCGACCTCTAGTTTTCACCATTCTTTAAGTATTTGTAAAAATACAAAACAAAGTGTCAAAAAATGGGGGTTTACGTTTAAAATTTTTGAGTGTCCCCCCAAATCCCCCCATTTGGGGGGTTACTAAAATATTTTCAATTTAAACCCCCATCAAGTGACACAAGTGACACATTTTGAAGAGCTTACAAAAACTTAAAGAATGGTGAAAACCAGAGTTCGCTATCTCTTCTCTATCCAAAATGGTAGCCATTACCAACCAATTTTACCATTGATTTTCTACAACATTTGACAGGCTACCATTTTAGATAGAGAAGAGATATCGACCTTTAGTTTTCACCATTCTTTAAGTTTTTGTAAACACTTCAAAATGAGATGTCACTTGAAGGGGGTTTACATTTAAAATATTTGAGTTACCCCCCAAATCCCCCCTTTTGGAGGGACACTCGAAAATTTCAAAATCATAAAATGAAACTTCCTGCTAAGCTTGCACGACCACCAAAAGGATATCTCTGTATATTTACTTGGAAAAATATTAGATGGGAGGGTCTTGACTTTTTATTCACCCTGTATTAGTCACTCAAGTCAATTTATAAAGAATATAAAAAACCTACCAAAATATGTAAAAATCAGGTGGTATAGCTGTACAAAGTATTTAATTCATTTAGACCTATATTTATGGCTGTAAATAAAAACATTTACAAAGCTAAGAATATTAAATTATACTGAATGTAGCGTATAATGAAATAATCTATATTTTTCTATTTCCTAAATTAGGTCCCATTGAAATTTTTGTTTGCAAACATTCGAATTGTAGTGTTCTTATTTTGGTACAACTATTTTAAACTATGTTTGGTAAGGGGTGTTTTATTTTTACGCCCAATAATTTCATAATCACTGCATTAATGACATAACTCGCTTTAATTCGGCACTTTCTTTGTGTCCTTCTTCTGGATCGAGGTCTTCTCGTATGGCAAACACATGTTGATATTAATCATTCGGGTGTTGAAACATATATATGCAACTGATATATAGCCTTTCAAACTGTGAGAACCTTTAAAATCCACACTGATATGACTGTTTACTCATTTTCTGTGTTCAAAAATGTTTTATTACTCAATCATTGTAATGTTCATTTCTATTCCTCCATCCCGACGCCCGATATCCTTTTACGTACTTATAATGTTTGTAATTTTATTCGTATAGTCATACGACGTTTAGTCATAGGAGATTTTTTTCATATATCGTCATATTTTCTAAGAGTCAAAATATTGCCCAAGAAATTTAGCTCCTAAAAAATTAATAACATGTCAAATATATGTTTTAATCTTTAAAATCAAAACTTTTTTGTATTTGAACTCCATTGTTGTTGATCAAATAAACAATGAATTCTTAAGTATCCACTCTTCTATGTACCTTACAGTTTCAATTAAATTGGAACAATGGGAAAACAAGTTTTTTGCCTAGTTTTAAGTGTTTAGGTAAAAAAAAATATACTACGTATGCTTTAGTAACAGTTTTATAATCATACACTGACCTTTCGTTAGAGTACACTATTCAATTACTTGATTATGTTAACGATTAATAAGGTTTACCTTTTGCTTACATATATTATTGAATTACTTGATCATGTTAACGATTAATAAAGTATACGTTTTTTCTGCTTACAATACACTCATACTAGCGTGTTTTATCACACAGAACAATATAATGTAAGCTGCAATATCTTGCTAAATTAAGCTTCTGGTTCTAAATTAAAATAATCAACTTCCCTCTTACATTTATAAATTCTACCAGTCTTAGTTAAGCTGCAAGATATTTCAGCTTAACTAAGACTGGCAAAATTGATAAATGTAAGAGAAAAGTTTATTATTTTAATTTAGAATCAGAAGCCAACATTAGTAGTTAAATACAAATAGTGTACAATTTTCAACCTTACGATTTTAGCTGTATAATAAAAGCTGTATAAAGCTG